TATATCTAGTCTCTGGTACTATCATTATAAATATATCTAGTCTCTGGTACTATCATTATAAATATATCTAGTCTCTGGTACTATCATTATAAATATATCTAGTCTCTGGTACTATCATTATAAATATATCTAGTCTCTGGTACTATCATTATAAATATATCTAGTCTCTGGTACTATCATTATAAATATATCTAGTCTCTGGTACTATCATTATAAATATATCTAGTCTCTGGTACTATCATTATAAATATATCTAGTCTCTGGTACTATCATTATAAATATATCTAGTCTCTGGTACTATCATTATAAATATATCTAGTCTCTGGTACTATCATTATAAATATATCTAGTCTCTGGTACTATCATTATAAATATATCTAGTCTCTGGTACTATCATTATAAATATATCTAGTCTCTGGTACTATCATTATAAATATATCTAGTCTCTGGTACTATCATTATAAATATATCTAGTCTCTGGTACTATCATTATAAATATATCTAGTCTCTGGTACTATCATTATAAATATATCTAGTCTCTGGTACTATCATTATAAATATATCTAGTCTCTGGTACTATCATTATAAATATATCTAGTCTCTGGTACTATCATTATAAATATATCTAGTCTCTGGTACTATCATTATAAATATATCTAGTCTCTGGTACTATCATTATAAATATATCTAGTCTCTGGTACTATCATTATAAATATATCTAGTCTCTGGTACTATCATTATAAATATATCTAGTCTCTGGTACTATCATTATAAATATATCTAGTCTCTGGTACTATCATTATAAATATATCTAGTCTCTGGTACTATCATTATAAATATATCTAGTCTCTGGTACTATCATTATAAATATATCTAGTCTCTGGTACTATCATTATAAATATATCTAGTCTCTGGTACTATCATTATAAATATATCTAGTCTCTGGTACTATCATTATAAATATATCTAGTCTCTGGTACTATCATTATAAATATATCTAGTCTCTGGTACTATCATTATAAATATATCTAGTCTCTGGTACTATCATTATAAATATATCTAGTCTCTGGTACTATCATTATAAATATATCTAGTCTCTGGTACTATCATTATAAATATATCTAGTCTCTGGTACTATCATTATAAATATATCTAGTCTCTGGTACTATCATTATAAATATATCTAGTCTCTGGTACTATCATTATAAATATATCTAGTCTCTGGTACTATCATTATAAATATATCTAGTCTCTGGTACTATCATTATAAATATATCTAGTCTCTGGTACTATCATTATAAATATATCTAGTCTCTGGTACTATCATTATAAATATATCTAGTCTCTGGTACTATCATTATAAATATATCTAGTCTCTGGTACTATCATTATAAATATATCTAGTCTCTGGTACTATCATTATAAATATATCTAGTCTCTGGTACTATCATTATAAATATATCTAGTCTCTGGTACTATCATTATAAATATATCTAGTCTCTGGTACTATCATTATAAATATATCTAGTCTCTGGTACTATCATTATAAATATATCTAGTCTCTGGTACTATCATTATAAATATATCTAGTCTCTGGTACTATCATTATAAATATATCTAGTCTCTGGTACTATCATTATAAATATATCTAGTCTCTGGTACTATCATTATAAATATATCTAGTCTCTGGTACTATCATTATAAATATATCTAGTCTCTGGTACTATCATTATAAATATATCTAGTCTCTGGTACTATCATTATAAATATATCTAGTCTCTGGTACTATCATTATAAATATATCTAGTCTCTGGTACTATCATTATAAATATATCTAGTCTCTGGTACTATCATTATAAATATATCTAGTCTCTGGTACTATCATTATAAATATATCTAGTCTCTGGTACTATCATTATAAATATATCTAGTCTCTGGTACTATCATTATAAATATATCTAGTCTCTGGTACTATCATTATAAATATATCTAGTCTCTGGTACTATCATTATAAATATATCTAGTCTCTGGTACTATCATTATAAATATATCTAGTCTCTGGTACTATCATTATAAATATATCTAGTCTCTGGTACTATCATTATAAATATATCTAGTCTCTGGTACTATCATTATAAATATATCTAGTCTCTGGTACTATCATTATAAATATATCTAGTCTCTGGTACTATCATTATAAATATATCTAGTCTCTGGTACTATCATTATAAATATATCTAGTCTCTGGTACTATCATTATAAATATATCTAGTCTCTGGTACTATCATTATAAATATATCTAGTCTCTGGTACTATCATTATAAATATATCTAGTCTCTGGTACTATCATTATAAATATATCTAGTCTCTGGTACTATCATTATAAATATATCTAGTCTCTGGTACTATCATTATAAATATATCTAGTCTCTGGTACTATCATTATAAATATATCAAGTCTCTGTTACTATCATTATAAATATATCTAGTCTCCGGTACTATCATTATAAATATATCTAGTCTCTGGTACTGTCATTATAAATATATCTAGTCTCTGGTACTCTCATTATAAATATATCTAGTCTCTGGTACTGTCATTATAAATATATCTAGTCTCTGGTACTATCATTATAAATATATTATTATATGATATGCTATTTGAAACTAGTGCTGATTTGTCGTGATGTTCATGAAACTGTGACCTCTGGCTGTGAAACTGTGATCTGTGGCTGTGAAACTGTGATCTGTAGCTGTGAAACGATGAACTGTGGCTGTGAAACGGTGATCTGTGGCTGTGAAACTGTGACCTGTGGCTGCTAAACTGTGATCTGTGGCTGTGAAACTTTGATCTGTAGCTGTGAAACGGTGAACTGTGGCTGTGAAACGGTGATCTGTGGCTGTGAAACTGTGATCTGTGGCTGTGAAACTGTGATCTGTAGCTGTGAAACGGTGAACTGTGGCTGTGAACCTGTGATCTGTAGCTGTGAACCGGTGAACTGTGGCTGTGAACCTGTGATCTGTAGCTGTGAAACTTTGACCTGCAGCTGTGAAACGGTGAACTGAGGCTGTGAAACTGTGGCCTGTGGCTGTGAAAGTTTGAACTGTAGCTGTGAAACTGTGAACTGTGGCTGTGAAAATGTGACCTGTGGCTGCTAAACTGTGATCTGTGGCTGTGAAACGGTTAACTGTGGCTGTGAACCTGTGATCTGTAGCTGTGAACCGGTGAACTGTGGCTGGGAAACTTTGACCTGTGGCTGTGAAACTGTGACCTGTGGCTGTGAAACTTTGAACTGTAGCTGTGAAACTGTGACATGTGGCTGTGAGACTGTGACCTGTGGTTTAAAAACCGTTCGTTGTTTTGACACTTTGATTTGTTCCTTTAACGCTGCGGTAGATTAATTGGATGTTGTGCTATGTATGTAGTTTTGGCGTCTGGGTAGGAGGTTTTGAGCTTTGAGATGTTTTTTGTTTTAGTTTTAAACGCTTTTGTGATTGTGATGTATGTTTTTGTTAACGCTGGGTTATGATAATTAAACGCCATTACACTTGATATGACGTTGTGATTCGTGGTTTTGACGTTGGGATATGCTTTTACTTTTGATGTTTTGTTATACTATATGACATTGTGGTATTTGGCTTTTGCAGTGTAACCTGTGAATTTGACGCTCTGATTTGGCAGTGTAACATGTGAATTTGACGATCTGATTTGACAGTGTAACATGTGACTTTGACGATCTGATTTGGCAGTGTAACATGTTATTTTGACGATCTGATTCGGCAGTGTAACATGTGACTTTGACGATCTGATTTGACAGTGTAACATGTGACTTTGACGCTCTGATTTGGCAGTGTAACATGTGACTTTGACGATCCGATTTGGCAGTGTTACATGTGACTTTAACGATCATATTTGACAGTGTAACATGTGACTTTGACGCTCTGATTTGACAGTGTAACATGTGACTTTGACGCTCTGATTTGGCAGTGTGACATGCGACTTTGACGCTCTGATTTGGCAGTGTAGCATGTGACTTTGACGCTCTGATTTGGCAGTGTAACATTTGACTTTGACGCTCTGATTTGGCAGTGTAACATGTGACTTTGACGATCTGATTTGGCAGTGTAACCTGTGACTTTGACGCTCTGATTCGGCAGTGTAACATGTGACTTTGACGCTCTGATTCGGAAGTGATATATTGTTTTAACGCTGTGGTACTTAACTTGACGATGTGATGTGTTATTCGCGATGATTGTTTTCATTATGTGATATGCTGCACTGATGTTGTGTATTGTGTGCATTGTTATATGTGGATCTGACGCTTTGATGTCTTATTTTGGCGGTACGACAAATGTATTGAACTGCTTCAAGTCATTTCAATAGAATCCCCTGTTTTTGAAGCTGTGATATGTGGAATGTTTCGCAGTGATATGTTTAGTGATGATACAAGGTGTTCATGCTATTACTTTTGTTACAGGCGCGGATGGGTGTCACGATACTGCACTGAACGCCTTAATAGAAAAATCGGCTAAATTGTGTTGATCAACGCGTATCGGTCACGATTTATTGTGAAAAGAAAGTCTACATGTTAAATTAGCGATTTGTGAAGGTTTGGCGTCTTTCAGTCATAGGCAACCGTTGTTTTCCTTCAACTTTCGTCAATACCTTCTGGAGTTTAATGCAAATGACGTACGTATGCCTAGTGCGTGCAACTTCACGGTCAAACAAACAGCTTGTTTTTATTTTCACGACCGATGAAACTGTACAAAATTGTAGAAATTTAAAGTTTGAGATATCAAAACTTACAATGTAGCTGTAGGGTACTCTGACTGGAACAAAGGATAGATGGAGACGATAACGAATGTCCACTCCTGTGCGTCACGATGTCTAAAATGTTAATTAACAACGATTATGTTTACAAATTTAATGGCCAGAGTATAACGTGGCATGCCCAAGGCAAAGGTCGGCTGAGGGTTAAGTAAACCTTATAAATGAGAGTTACGGCTGCCAAAAGTTAGTCCGAGCAAGAAAAAGCCATGGACAGACGGTGGATTCTTCTGGTTCTAGCCATCAGTGGTTACGGTGCGAGTAGGGAGATCTCCTCAGGAGGTAATTGATATTAGCTTTTAAAATGTCTACCTTTTTCAAACAATAGCATTTTGAAATATTTGTAGATTTGAAAATAAATAACATGGCATTCTATAACAATACAAACGATACATTACACTAAAATGGATTATTTGAATCTACTCTAACAGAGTATGTTTTAATGTAAGTTAGTTTATCAATAGAGCTCCAAGGAGCACCTCTGTTTATAACACATCATTACCATAATAAATTTCATCATTTACACAGTCAGTTTATGATATTCTTTACCAGTTCTGCTAAGCATTTTCCTCTACAGTGCAAAGTTTACTACCATATGTTAAACGCGTAAGTGTCCAGTAATCTGATGTCTTAGTGTGTCTGTCAGGGACCAGGGCTCCATCACCTATCTAGGCTATCTTCATCTCATCAAAATATGTCAAAAGGTTTTAGTTTTTAAGTGATAGTCATTGTTTTGGCCAGAACAGTTCATACAATGTCTTCTGCGTGTGTAATCAGAAATTAATCGATGTTTCCATAATTGATAAAACTAGTATTTTCCTGTATATTTTGGAAGTGATATTTCTTTAACTTACATTTTCATGTAAGAAAGCAATTAAAAACGCAAAACAAAATATTTTCTCGACACGTTTTGCAGATTTAACGATCGATATATACGTTCTATTTTTTCTTTCTTAATATTCGGGGGGTTCCGTTATTCCTATAACATAAGAGGCCGCTGGTCGGCCTTTTTACTATTGGAAACGATTTTGCCGACTAATTCTTTGATCCAGATTCCACCCGAAATCCGGGCGGAACAAAATCGGCTTGAATAACTCAATTAAGTGGTTCACAGTTCATGACAACGATGTCTACTCACGTTTCATATAATATAGATCCCATATGTATGTCACAAACACAAATATATAATTATGTGTCCAAGTCGTTATAGCACTTCTCTGACATGGCTACTTGGGTTGATACGAAATAGCAGTGGGTAATTTAAACGGTACGAAATGAAATGGAGTTTGTTTGTATTCCGCTTATAGAATATTACATGTAATTCATTTTTGTATTAACCGGAAAATCACGACAATTATTGTCTGCTCGAGAAAAAAATCATTGTTTATGTCTTTGACACGCAATTTTTCTCATTTTATTATGGATTTATGGAAAGGAATATTGATTGGACCCTGTTGAATATTAAATGTATGCTAACACGATATATTTTTTGTAAATCCGAACTTTGAAAATTTGATCGTCAGCATCGGAAAAATCGGCTATGGGCAGTTAGAGGTTACACGGCGCCTGTCAAAAGTATCTCGCCATATAAACCTCTATCACTGTTAGGGAGTAGGGGTTCCGTGTAATTTGTATTTTTTTTGTGATATTTCTCACGTACCTAGCTTTGGCAAAATAAATAAGCAAAAGAGGTTCAGTCGACCTAAATAGATAAAAAAAAAAAATACCAATATTGTAGCATATGCAAGAAAGATCTTAAAACTTCTGCAAACATGCAAACAATAGGCAGTTACTTTTTGACATAATTTTTATATGTTTCCTTAAAAATTGAGCGTAATTTGTTAAATTAGATAATAAAACAAGTGTTATTTTACATCAAAGCGAGATGTGAACGCGATTTAAAGAGTAGATCCTTAAGTACCATATTCTTTATAATGCGAAATAATCTTCTTAACAACATATGTCATCACTTAATATGACATAACGTGTTTATAATGCTATTACAGGGACCTGACTTTTATAATATTAGAGGGACCTGACTGTTATGATATAACAGGGACCTGACTGTTATGATATTACAGGGACCTCACTGTTATGACTGTTGCGATATAACAGGGACCTGACTGTTGTGATATTACAGGGACCTGACTGTTGTGATATAACAGGGACCTGACTGTTATGATATTGCAGGGACCTGACTGTTATGACTGTTATGATATTACAGGGACCTGACTGTAATGATATTACAGGGACCTGACTGTTGTGATATTACAGGGACATGAATGTTGTGATATAACAGGTACCTGACTGTTATGATATTGCAGGGACCTAACTGTTATGACTGTTATGATATTAAAGGGACCTGACTGTAATGATATTACGGGGACCTGACTGTTATGATATTACAGGGTCCTGACTGTTATGATATTACAGGGTCCTGACTGTTATGATATTACAGGGACCTTACTGTTATGATATTACAGGGACCTGACTGTTATGATATTTCAGGGACCTGACTCTTGTGATAGTTCAGGGACCTGACTCTTGTGATAGTTCAGGGACCTAACTGTTATGATGTAACAGGGACCTGACTGTTATGATATTACAGGGACCTGACTGTTATGATATTACTGGGACCTGACTGTTGTGATATTACAGGGACCTGACTGGTGTGATATTACAGGGACCTGACTGTTGTGATATTACAGGGACCGGACTGTTGTGATATTACAGGGACCTGACTGTTATGATATTACTGGGACCTGACTGTTGTGATATTACAGGGACCTAACTGTTATGATGTAACAGGGACCAGACTGTTATGATATTACAGGGACCAGACTGTTATGATATTACAGGGACCAGACTGTTATGATATTACAGGGACCTGACTGTAATGATATTACAGGGACCTGACTGTTGTGATATTTCAGGGACCTGACGCTTGTGATAGTTCAGGGACCTGACTCTTGTGATAGTTCAGGGACCTGACTCTTGTGATAGTTCAGGGACCTGACTCTTGTGATAGTTCAGGGACCTGACTCTTGTGATAGTTCAGGGACCTAACTGTTATGATGTAACAGGGACCTGACTGTTATGATATTACAGGGGCCTGACTGTAATGATATTACAGGGACCTGACTGTTGTGATATAACAGGGACCTGACTGTTGTGATATAACAGAGACCTGACTGTTATGATATTACAGGGACCTGACTGTTGTGATATTACAGGGACCTGACTGTTGTGATATTACAGGGACCTAACTGTTGTGATATTACAGGAACCTGACTGTTGTGATATTAAAGGAACCTGACTGTTATGATATTACAGGGACCTCACTGTTATGACTGTTATGATATTACAGGGACCTGACTGTTATGATATTACAGGGACCTGACTGTTGTGATATTACAGGCACCTGACTGTTGGGACACCTGTTTTAGACATTTCCTGAAATGTAGGGAGAATCATAACATGTTTTAGGGATTAACATCTACCCCACCCCACGGTAGGTATAGGTCTACAGGTCACCCCCACCCCACGGTAGGTATAGGTCTACAGGTCACGCCCCACCCCACGGTAGGTATAGGTCTACAGGTCACCCCCACCCCACGGTAGGTATAGGTCTACAGGTCACACCCCACCCCACCCCACAGTAGGTATAGGTCTACAGGTCACACCCCACCCCACTCCACGGTAGGTATAGGTCTACAGGTCACGCCCCACCCCACGGTAGGAATAGGTCTACAGGTCACGCCCCACCCAACGGTAGGGATAGGTCTACAGGTCACGCCCCACCCCACCGCAGGGATAGGTCTACAGATCACGCCCCACCCCACGGTAGGGATAGGTGTATAGGTCTACAGGTCACACCCCACCCCACGGTAGGTATAGGTCTACAGGTCACCCCCCCACCCCACGGTAGGTATATGTCTACAGGTCACCCCTCACCCCACGGTAGGTATAGGTCTACAGATCACGCCCCACCCCACGGTAGGTATAGGTGTATAGGTCTACAGGTCACACCCCACCCCACGGTAGCTATAGGTCTACAGGTCACGCCCCACCCCACCCCACCCCACGGTTGGTATAGGTCTACAGATCACGCCCCACCCCACGGTAGGTTTAGGTCTACAGGTCACGCCCCACCCCACGGTAGGTATAGGTCTACAGGTCACGCCCCACCCTACGGTAGGTATAGGTCTACAGGTCACGCCCAAACTAAGATATATAGTATTGACTTTGTAACTGTTTTATTATGCAATGTGTATGTCCTGTATGTTAGTCGGTTTTAATAGCTCCTTAGAGCTAATGTTGTATTGTCATACCATGTACCGACTCTAAATAAAACTTTTGACTTTGACTTTGACTTAAGATTATCCACTATATCTAATTGTCTTTACAGGGGAAGAGGAAGGAAATGGGCCGGACGTACCGCCCCCTGCCATCGTCGGTGGCACCAATGCTCCGGAGGACGCCTGGCCATGGCAGGTTCTGCTCTTGTACGATAACAAATTAAGGTGTGGCGGTACGCTTCTGAACGATAACACTATACTCACCGCGGCCCACTGCACTTACCGAACCAAGTAAGTAACATGTGATCTTCCATGTTCCATTCAGTTACACGTGATTATCATGTCCACTCATGTACAGTAGATATAGGTCACACCACGAGATCTCCAGGTCTTTTGCTAGTACTAATATTAATACCCGGCCTCTGACGACCCAATTTAAACCCAAAACTCGTCGTCTGAAAGCTATGCTATCGCAGCTAGTCTTTAGCCAACTGTAACGGCGGGAGTCGTTCAGTCACATGTCATAACAATTTCAATTCCCCTTTTGGTGTCAAAAATGATTTAGACATGATCCATGTCTGTGACAATATCGGAGGCAAGGAAATCACGAGTGATTGTCATCTCTATAGTTTCTGTTTGTGATGGGAAAGATACATGTGGATCTATTATTCCCGAAAAATGTGATACCTGGTTCGTATTATCCCGGCACTATG